GGCCCCATCATAACCTAATGGAACCAGCATCACATATGTGTGTGAGGTTGACTGAAACATGCCTTCTGGCAGAAGCCCAAACATGGCTTTTGTGGGTGTGACTTTAGAGAACAAAGTATAGGAAAGAAGTTTCTAAGCTTTTTTGGGGGGAGGGGGAATCCTAGATTGACTCTGCTGTTTAACTTAATTATTTAATCTTTCAGCACTTACATGTCTTCCTCTATAAAATAAGGTTACCAATAAAAGGCTTTTTCCAAGTAACTGTAGCTGTGCATGCCTATAACCCCAGCCCTTAGGACGCAGAGGCAGGAGGAGCTCAACAAGTTCAATGCCAATCTAGGGCGTGAGACACTGTTTTAAAAAAAGAAAGAAAGAAAGAAAGACTTTTTTAAACTGAAAATACTAGTTTAAACTTACCTTTTATGGGGGAGAAATTTTCTAATAAATTATATACCACTAAAAATTAAATCAGAAGTAGTGGTACACACCTATAAAGCTCCAGCTTTTTCTGGAAAGCTGAAGCAGAAGGATCAATCACAAGTTCAAGCTTAACCTGAATAAAGTAAGAGACGCTGTCTCAGGGGCTGGGGCTAAAAAACACCATAAATACAAACACCTTCATGTTTCAATGATAACCAGCTATTTTAAAATGAGAGCATAGGCTGAGGTTATAGCTCAAGGGCAGAGCACTTGCCTAGCATCTGTGAGGCCCTGGGTTCCGTCCCTAGCACCAAAATAAAATAAAAACACAGCCCAGACCTTTATCACCAGCACAACGCTGTTTCAGGCAGGGGTGGACCATGACAACCTGCGGCCTTTCTTCCTGCAGTACATCACAAGCCAAGTGCAGCCTTCACACGTTTTGGTTTGTGTGTTTTCTGTTTTGGTTTATTTTTAAGCAAAACAGAAAAAAGGGTAGAAATAATACAGAATTTAAAAAAACACGGTAAGAAATCAGCAACACTAGTTAATATATTACATGTTATCTTAGAAGTATTCATGTTACAAAACCTAAGCATAAGAAAATGAACAATCAAGCAATGACAGCACAAACTATTCTTTTTGATGAACTAACAGAGCATTAGTAATATAGTTATCTCCCTTCCCTTGCACACTTAAACATACATACACTTATACGTGTATACCTACAATTGTTCTTTCCTTTTGAGCACTTTCTTTCCCTTTCATTATTACAATATCTATGTACATTTTGGATCTTATTATTCTTTCAGTTTATTATTATTATTATTTATTTTCTGGGGTTTTTCTGATACAGGGTCTCACTTGCATAGTTCAGACTGGCCTTGTACTCAACTAGATAGCCCAGGCCGGGATGGAACTCACTGCTATCCGCCTGAGTGCTGGGATTACAGGCATGTGCCACTGTATCTGGCTGGCTTTTACATTTTTAAAGATTTGGAACAACTAAAAGTACACAGCATTAAGCACATGCTCAACAAAAGCTAAAGTTCTATGTCTCTCCCTATAAAGAAAAAGTTTGCCAATCCCACTGTATTTCACATGAGTTTTACATTTCTCCCTGGATTAAATCCTTTTACATTCAGATTTAAGGTCACTTACGATTTTCTCGCTATTAGCCATTTCTCTCCCCTGCTCAGTTCCTCTTTATGTACTAGCCATTTTCTTCATATTACATATTCATCCAAGTATTTATTACAATATTCTGAGTGAGCAAAATAACCTAAAAACAAAAAACCTAGATGCCAACTATGCCTATCTTGTAATTAGTAAGTATTCAAATATAAGCATTTTTTCCACCTATGAGTTTAAATTAAACAGTAAGTCTGGGATATAGCTCAGCAGCACAGCCCCAGCCTGGCAAGCGCAAGGTCAGGAGTTTGCTTCCCAGTAGAAAAAAAAAAGAATTTCAACAAAAATTCAGTAATGAATAAGTAAATTAGTCAACTGAGTTGCCCAGAATGCATGATTTCAGCTGATCTATTCACATACATTCAGTACTAGGCAAGGTCTAGCTTCAATGACATCTAGCTTCAATGACAAGGACAAAACATGGGATTTAAGGCTGAATTCCTATGCTCAAAACACCAAGAGTAAAAGGGTGGTGCAATCTGGCGAGGGACGGAAGTATTGAGAAAGTCTGGAAAGCAGCGTGGACCTACAGGACTGACACATCAGAAGGCACCCAGGCTGTTTCAGCACAACAAGTAACACGTGACACAGGGCACAGACTCCCGAGTCAGCTTCCCAGACAGCAAGACCGGCACACAACATCCCTCTCCCCAAGCGGGAATACAAACAGTCAAAAAAGCCTGTCCTGTAAACTACCAAGACTAGCTGAATCATTTCGACTCAAATCTCTGAGTCCTCTTTTATACCCCTCAAATGAACACTTTATAGAAAAAACTCAAAACTCAGCGTGCATAACTTTATTTTTTTGGTTTTGTTTTTGTTTTGAGTGAGGTACTGCAGCTTGAGCCCTGGGTTTCTACCACAGGGTTACCCCAGTATTTTTCATTTTTTATTTTGAGGCAGGGCCTAAATTGCCCAAGGGGAACCAGAACTTTTGATTCTCCGGTCTCACTCTCCCTCTACAATGGGATTTACAAGAATGTTCCACTGTCACCACACCCAACCCAATATACATAATTTATACACATTTATTTATACCCTTAAAGAGTAAGGGTGGGGCTGGGAATACACCTTAGTGGCCTGTGCGCCTGCTTGGCAAGGTCCTGAGTTCAATTTCCAGTTTTTAAAAAAAAAAAACAGGAGCTGGAGATTTAGCTCAGCGGCATAAGCGCCTGCCTTGCAAGTGTGTGGTCGTGAATTGGATCCCTGGTACCAGTAAAAATACAAAAACAAAAAAACAAAAAAAAACAGACAACAAGAAGGGATAAGTGATGACATTATTTGGAATATCATATAGAATAGGGCTATGTATAATTTATTCCCTATCTACAGTAGCATGGATGCTTAATTAAAAGAATTCCTGATCAGTACAATTTTGATATACTCACATGTCCTTTATGAGACCTAATTAGAAATGCACATTTTTTCAATGCTAGAGAAAACATTACTCCTAACAATAAATCCCTAAAATACAAACCAGCAAACTTTCAATACATTCAGTATTTTTTATTTTGTTTTTTGAGACAAGATCTTAGCCTGTAGTTCAGTATGTAATTCTGCCTGGCCTCGAACTCACTATGTAATACAGGCTGACCTCAAACTCTTTCAGTGATCCTACTGCCTCAGTCTCCTGAGTCATGGAATTACCGGCCTGTGCCACCAGCTCGGATGAATACTTCAATATTTTTTAAAAGATATCAGCACACTGCATTCAGGAGATTGAGGCAGGAAGATGGCTGAGAGTTAAAGACCAGCCCCAGCTACAAAGTGAACTCAAAGACAGCCTGAATTACATAGTGTGACCTGATTTCAAAAAAACACAAAAATAAAACAATAAATAAAGGTTTCTTTACATGCCTAACTTTCTGTAATGGATTTATTATATGATACCAGTAGTACCCACTAAGTCCACCTACACTAACAGTACAGTATTCAACATACAAAACGTATAGTGTACATAAACAACATACAGTACATGATACACAAACGTAACATTAGTACTACACACTAATCAACACGTGTCATTAATTACAATACCAATCATTTAACAGGAGAAAAAAAGTCAGCCCAGAAAAAGTGGCTCTGAAACCACTGGAACGCACTACCAGAATGTTAATTCTCACACGGGACTTGTTAAGCATTTATATAGCACATTTATATTTGCGGAGTGCTCCATAACCATTTTATTAGCTGCTTCTAGTCCAAAACAATCCATGAAGAACTTTACAGAAGAAGAACCTAGGCCGAGAGGGGAACCAAGAAAACCAGTTTACCATGGAGGAAACACCACCACTCTCTCATGGGCCAGGTCCTCCCAATTACTTTGCATCTGCAGTGATGAATTTGGCCAAAATTAATAAACAGAATGTCAATAAAATACAAAGAAAATATTAGGTTTCCTACACACTCTGAAGGACGTGGAACTAACTGCTGCATTTCATTATACAGACACACTATAAAGAAATAAAATTCCACTAAGTGACAAACTTCAAGGGCTCAGTGAAAAGCAGTTACTTTTTCCGCATTTGCTGAGCAAAGTCAGATTGACTGAACAAGTGCAAGTGAGGTCCTTTAATAACGAGCTGAGCCCGTTACTAAATAAGTAGGACCCAACTAGAAGTGTGCGCAGTGAGCTCAGGAGGAAGTCAGGAAGAAGTGAGAATGTGCGCTTGGCATGCTTAGTCAACCCACCTTGCAGCAGATAATGGTTCTAACCAGAACTCTGTGGTTTAATCAGTGCATATCTCAGCACATACAGTTTCAAGGGATAACGAAAAACTTGAGCCACAGCCAGCCGGTGCATAAAATTCCTTCTTTGCCCCATTTAAGCCCCTCTCTCTCTCTTTTACGCCAACGCTGCATCTTTAAAAACTACATGCTCACCCAGGACATAGTTAAGACTGAGTTGTCCTGACACCAGTATGTCCTGACACCTCGATCAAAGCCCATGCACCTACTTCACAGCCAGCTCTCTCTGCTCATCCAGCGGGGAGCCCTCACCGGTAAATTACAGTATACACTTCCTCACCCCATCCCTTTCATCTCCCGGGGCCAATTCCGTGACCCACATCTCTGCACCCTGCACAGAGCCCCAAACTCCTCACCCCCACCGCACTTCCGCTCCGGTGGCTTCCCAGTCAACCCATACCCAGCCCCCACCCCACCTTTGTCTCGCTCCCCAAGCACCTCAACGTTCTCAAGCACCAACAGCAGCCCTTCCCCCACACGACCCCCGCCCTCCGGCCTCTCCCCCGCCCCACACCCCCAGTCGCCCGCGACGGGTCCCCGACCCCTCCCCCGCTTCCTCCGCCCGTCCGTCCCGCCCCTCGCTGCGGCCCCTCAGCCCACGCCCACCCTGCGCCCGCCGCGGGTCCCAGGCAGGCCGTCACCTTGTCCATGAGCTTCCAGCACTTCTCCACCATCTTCTTGTCCACAGTCCCCGGCGGGTGCGGGCTGAGGTGGTGGTGGTGGTGGTGCGGCTGGAAAGCGTCCTTCATGAGCCCGATCAGGCCGCCCGCGCCCGAGCCTCCAGAGCCGCCGCCGCCCCCCGCGCCTGAGCTCTTTTTCACGTTGCCGGCCATGGCCGGAGAGGGTCGCGGGCCCAGCCGGGTCGGCGGCTGCGCTCGGCTGCGAGCGAGGGAAAGAAGGACGCGAAGGAGGGGCCTCTCCGGCCGCCGCCGGCGGCTCTCCGGGCGGAGGGAGGAGCGGCTGCGGGGAGCGGAGTGGGCGGCGCCGGGCAGCGCGGGGCGCGCCCCTTCAGCGAGGACGGCGGGCGGGCCCGCCCGGACTGCCGACTGCCGACTGCCGAGCTCGTGGGAGCGGGCGGCCGCGTCGGGACCTGGCCGCGGCCCCCTCCCGCGCCGCCCTTCGCGAGCGCCGGCTGGCCCACAGCCCCCGGAAAGCTGCAGCCAAGTTTCCGCGCCCGCCTCCCCGGCTCCTGCCCCCGCGGGGCGGGCAGGGGCGGAGCCGACCGGGCGGGGGCCGCGAAACCTCAGCCGCTGGGCCCTCTGGTGGAGAAGCTGAGAAGGGAAGGGGTGGGGCCAATTTGGAGTCTGCGCGCTAGGCAGAAGAAGCCTGGACCTCCATGTTTCTTCCGGGCGAGAGATTGCTACTCCAGGAGTGGGTTATTGCAGTGAAGAAGCTTAATGTCAAACCTTTCCTCCACGCCTGACAAATGTGAAAATTAAGAGTTATTTACTTCATATTGTAGAGAAATGGTGAGAGAAGAGAAAAAACCATTTCTCTACCTCCTGGTATTTTAAACTCTGCATTAAGACCCAACCCACTGAGGACGGGATGCGTAGGCTGTGGGTTGTTTGAGCCTGATTTGGCCCCAGGAAGGATTTAAGGATTGGGATAATTCAAACCCTGAGCTCTTCTTCCAATCCCTTTGACCTCAAGAAAACAATGCACCGCTTTTTCTGAAGAGCCGTTCCTTTTCTGGGAACTGAATATGTACTTTAAATTCTCAGTGCATTGCACCGCAGGTCTACAAAGAGACAGACGCTAGGAGCGCATCAAATGGGTTCACCCTCTGACCAAGAAGCAGAAACGTAGTTCCTAGCCATTTCACTTCTCTAAAAGTTCTGATGGAAGAACTATGAAAATAGGAACTTCCTTTCCAAAGAGGGAAGTGCCTTGCTCTAATTTAGTAATTCTGTGCCTCGGCTCTTGTGAGATACAAACCCAGGTGTGTCAATATCTTCTCAGTTCCTCCTGAGACCTCCCTCTGGCTACTCCACAAAAATTCTGATTGATTTGGACTTGACTGATAGGGAGTTAGTACTCCTGCTAGAGGGAAAAATATCTTTGAACTCAACATTCAGCCAGACATCCTAGTTTGCAGATCAATCGTCTTTATGTAAAACTAGTCTTTTTTGTAAAAGGTTTAATCTTTTTTTAAAATCTTCAAACTGATGTTTAGTCACAAAGTTGCAGTTGGAAACGATACACAGAGAAAAACTAGTTTTGAGAGTCTGAGTAGTAACATGAGACTAATAGCGTGTGGCAGCACATTCCTGTAATCCAACCACTCTGGAGGTTGAGGCCAGAGAATCGCTGCAACTTTGAGTCCAGCCTGGGCTACATAGTGAGTTCAGGGCCAGCCTGGGCTACAGAATAAGCCCTGAAGTACAGAATAAGAACCTGTCTAAAAAGAATCAAAAAGTTGTATCCCTGGTGCCACCGTCCTAGTTGTAGACTAGGGGGCCCTCTTTTTTTTTCTTTTCTTTTTTTTCTTTTTTTCACTTGGCTCTGCTTGGTGAAGAGCTTCTTGCAGCCACCCTTACATTGGCAGAAAAGGCAAAGAGCCGTGGTAAGGGTCTCTCTCTCTCTCTCTGTCTCTGCCTTTTATATTAGTATGTGTTTACAGTACATGTAATTACATTCATCATGGGAAGTTGGTACATGTGCACAACACACTTTAATTCTTTATACTCTCCCTTCCTTTCTCCTAACCCCCACCATCCATCCATCTCTTGATGAATCTGCCTTAGGATCAGGTTTCTGCCCTTTACCTTTTTAACTGGGCTAACATGTCTTTAAGGCATTTTGAGTGGAATAGGCTTGAAAAAAAACCTAAACAGCATAAACAAACCTGGGGACTAAAGACAGGGAGCTCAGATATGGGTGACCTTGAGTAACTTTGGTTCTGGCATAAAGTTACAGTCTTTTTTTTTTAATTTTTTTGTCTTTTTCTTTATCAGTACCAGGGATGGAACTCACGACTGCCTGCTCGCAAGGCAGGCACATATGCCACTGAGGTAAATCCCCAGCCCCTCTTTTTTTTTTTTAAACTGGTACCAGAGATCGGACTCGTGACCACGAGCTTGCAAGGCAGGCGCTTATGCCGCTGAGCTAAATCCCCAGCCCCCAGTCTTCTTAAAAGCACAGTTTTTAAACTGTGATTTCCTTTGTCTCCTTTCTACCTGTCTTTATTTACTTTTTCTAACCTGTCTCAGATGAACCAAGGTATTCTTCATAGTCAAAACCTAGATTTAATGGAGCATAGCTAAGATTTTTATCTGTGAGAATATGTGTGTGCTTGTCTGGGTATTTACTTCTCATCGCTGGCGTGGCTCAAGATTTCTAATTTGTATTCAGTATACTCTGCATAGCATGGAACTTGTTTCTGCTACAGTCAGCCTTTTCAGTTTGTTGTTGGTTTGTAACAGGGATTAAACCTGGGAACACTCTACCACTGTTACTTTTTTCTCATTTATGAGACAAAATACCCAGCACCCAAACTCAAGGAAGGAAAGGTGTGTCAGCTCACAGTTTGTGGAGGTTTCTAGTCCATAATCAGCTGGCTCTAAAGCTGGCACAGGTGCAATACTTCAAGGAAGCAGAAGACAGCAAAAGCAGCCAGAGCGAAAATAGGGGGAAAACAAGCCTCTTTTCCCCCTTATGTGTAAGCCGGCTACTGGGCCCTGGGGCAGGTGTAGTGGCACATCTTCCTGCTCTCCTCTTGCACAGCTTGAGGATGTTTACAAGGGCCCTGGCTCCCTGCTAAACTTCTCAAATTGACAGTGTATCAATCATTACAACAGGGTTTCACTAAATTGCCCTGGCTGGCCTCAAATTTGCCATTCTCTTAACTTCAGCCTCCTTAGTGGCTGGGATTACAGTGTGTCACACCATGCCTGCCTCCCAAAAAAAAAAATTTTTTTTTTTTATGAACTGGAAGTGTAACTCAGTGGTAAAGCACTTACCTAGCACTGCAACACCTTGGTTTCAACCACCAGTACCACTGGGGAGAAACACTGTTTTATGCAAGGGAGTAAATCAAAAAATTCTGGAATGATCTAGTCTGCTGTTACTTGTAAAGTGAAATGAAAAAAGAAGCACAGATCTTTTTGTTACAATTTTCATTTGGGTTGGCTTTTTTTTAATACTACGGTGCACTTGCAAGGCAGCCCCTCCCCTCTTTTAAAGACAGGGTCTCCCTTTGTAGCTCATGCTGGACTTGATCTCACAGCAGTCCTCCTACCTCAGCCTCCCAAGTGCTGGTATCATACAGACATGCATGCACCACCACAGCCAACTTTATTTGTTTTCTGAATGTTCTAGACATTGGACTGTTGATCACCACGTTATTCTCGTGCTAGCGTCGATTCATCTTGTATCACATCAAGTGACACATAGTGCTTTTCTTATTCTACTTCTCTATCCCAAACTACATCCTCCTTCTACACCCGAAAACCAGTTGACTGAACACAGTTTAAAGTGCTCATCTGAAGTATGTATTCTATAAACTCTGTCCTTTATACAATGCCATTGTACATCAGCATAATAGCAACACTAGTCAATCTGTGTAAGTCCCCAAACAGGCTTCTGAGAAGGACAGGGACATGAAATCCCACTGTATTCCCGAGCAGGGAAAGGAGCTTGTGGAGGAAGAATAGATGAAAACATGATGTAAGATTAGAAGATTATTCTCCAGATTGGGACATGTGCATAAACTATTTATTTGGTATTTGGTTTTTTTCTTTTTCTTTTTTTTTTTTTTTTTTTTTTTTAGACAGGGTCTCACTATGCAGTTCAGACTGACTTTGTAGCTCACTTTGGGCTTACTTTGTAGCCCAGGCTGATCTTGAATTTGCAACAATCCGCCTACAATCTGCCTACCTCAGCCTCCGAGTGCTAGGATTACAGGAGTGCACCACCAAGCCTGGTTCTGTTTGCTTTTCTTTTTGAGACAGGGTTTTGATACACAATTCAGGCTGAACTTAAACTCACTTTGTAGAACAGGCTGGCCTTAAGTTTGGAGCATTCCTCCTGCCTCAGCCTCTCAAGTGCTGGAATTATAGATGTGCACCACCACATCTGGCCTTATTTGGTTTTTTAAAACAGGGTCTCATTTTGTAGCCCAGGCTGTCCTCAAACTCAGTGATCCTTCTGCCTCCAAATGCTGGGATTACAGGTGTGCACTACCACCGCCTGTTTGATGTGCATAAATTAAACTCGGTACTGATTTACAGGTCCTGTAAGTGTTGGAAGGAGAAACCTGGTTTTCTTCACCCTGTAAAGTGTCCAAAAACGTAAGGAAAATACACTGCAGCCACCAGTCAAATAAACTTGTAGTGGACTCTGTCTGACTCTTCCTGCTTCCCAGGGACAAGACTTTTGTTGTAGTTGTTGTTGTTATTATTGTTACAGGATCTCACTATGATGCTCAGGCTAAGCTCCAGCTCTCAACCCTCCTGCCTCAGCCTCCTACAGGCTGTTACTACATGACCATGCCTGGCCAGAAGAATACTTTCATTCCCAGATCTTGTGTCTATTTCTGCAGATCTGCTTCTGACAATAGTCAATGGACTAAACATTTTGAAGGGGATAGAGGTAGACAAAGCACGTATGAAAAGAGTCTGCAGGTCTCTCAATCCACAAGGAGAAAAGCGCTGAAGTTATTGGTGTTTTGGTTCTAGCTAGTTTGCTGCCCAGAGCTCCAGGTAGCGGGCAGGAACAGATGGCAAAGCTCCAGGATGGCACAGGCTGAGGCGGGGGCACTGCCCACCAAGAGCAAGCCACTGGTCATACTGCTGCCCCAAATTCATTTTTGCAACCACTTGTGGCTCTAGCATGTGACAGAAAGCATTCCCCAAAGCAAGCTATCTGTCACTCATTTCCGATAATTTGAAAACAAAAAGTGAGTGCAGTACTCTGAAAAAGGAGATTGAAGAGGATATCAGAAAATGGAAAGACCAGGACTGAGGATTTAGTTCAGTGGTGTTGTAAGTGCCTGCCAGGCAAGCACGAGGTCATGAGTTCAATTCCCCATACCAAAAAAGAAAATGGAAAGATATTCCTTGCTCTTGGGCAAGAAGAACCAATATTGTGAAAATGGTCACACTTCCAAAACTGATATACAGCTTTAATGCAATCCTGATCAAAATTCCAACAGCATACCTCACAGAACTAGAGAAAACAA